GGGGTGGGGTAGGTAGGGGGCGGGGTCGGAGGTTGCGGGGTCCCCACCCTTGCGGCTGCAGGCCTCAGTTTCCGTCTCTGTTTTTTTCTTTCTGGCTTATAGGTCTCTATCTCTGTATTTCCCAGTCTGCAACTGTCTCTGACTCTTGGGTTTGGAGAGATGTCTCTTTATCTCTGTGTTGCTCTCTGTTCTGTCTCTGTCTCTGTCTTCTCTTCGCGTCCCTCGCCATCTCTCTGTCTCATGAGTGCTGTCTGCTTCTCAGCCTCTCCCCCAGGGAGGCAATTCCATGAGGCGCTGGGGTCGCAAGGACGCGGGTTCGATTCCCGATTCCCACTTCTCGGTGGTTGACCTTGACCGAGCACTTCTCTTCCCTGAGCCGTTTCCTCCTTTATGGGACCGAAAAGACGCACCTAGGGCAAGGACTACCCTCGGCAGGCGCCCAGGCACTGTCTCTCCGCCCCCCTGACACCATCTCTGCCTCCTCCATGTGCCTCCTTAGCGGTGGGTTTGAATTTCGCTGGGGGTGGGGTGCGGCGGGAAGTGCACAGAGAAACACTGAATGTGTCTCTCCCTGCGAGGTCCCTGCACCCAGCCGGAGCCGCCGGGCACTAGGTGGGTGCTCCGGGAATCCTCGATGCACAGAAAGAGACGTGGCAAAAGAGGCAGAGAGGTCGTGAGAGACCAAGGGAGAGACGGGCAGATAGCAAGAGACGCAGGACACAAGACCAGTGTCACAGCGCCCAAACCCGGGCCCAGGAGGCGGGGGCAGTCTGGCGCCCCTTCTGCACCACATCCCACTCCCATCCCGGGCGGAGTTGGTGGGTGGGGAACAGGCCAGGCCGGTTGGGGGCATGACTCAGAGGCCCGCTGGAGCTGGGGGGCGGGGGACGGCAAAGGCGGGCCTCTCCTGCGTCCCCTCCCCTGCAGCCCTTCTCCCCGCCCCGGGGAGGGGCCTGCGCCTCGCGGGGCTTTCCCGGATTTCCCTGGAGGCGGGACCGTTGCTGGGGTTGAGTCCCGGTCACCGAGTTACGGGAGGCGGAGCAGGAGGCTTTGGGACCTAGAGGGGGCAGGGGAAGGGGGGGCTGCACTCCGGATCTGTTCAGGCGGCACGCAGAGTCTCCCTGGTTCTCTCCATGTGTCTCCCTATGTCTGCAATTCTGTCCCTCTCTCCCTGGCCTCCGTCTCCAGCCCCACCCTGTCTCTTTGTTTCCCAATCTCTGCGTCTCTGTCTCCTCGGCAGTGTCTCTCTGGGACCCTGAAAGTGGGTGTGGGGCCCCGGTTCCCAGGAAGGGACTTTGCCCCAGACTGGGGCTCCACCCGGTGGATGGTTAAACGGGATGTGAGGAGCAGCTGTGGGCAGACTCAGGCCTCAGCCCTTCCCCCGTCTCTCTACCTCTCTGGCTCTCCCCCTGGGTCCCCTGTAATGGGTGAGCATCTGCAGGCAAGACCTGGTTTCAAATCCCACTTCCACCTCTTGCTGACGGTGGACCTCAGACAAGTTGTCTCTCTTAAAACTCGGTTTGCTCTTCTGGAAAATGGGGCTGATGTCAAGCCCTGGCCCTAGAGTTGTGGGAGCTACAAGGGAAGAGGTGAAGGAATTAGGTTGGAAAGTCTGGGTCCCACTGCCCCCACCCACCCTGGCCTCTGGTGACTCTCAAACACAGGGGAGGGACAGGATGTAGAATACTACCCCTGCACAGAGGGAAAGTCAGCCTCAGGGGAGCAGGGCTTGTCCAGGTGATGACCCTAGGAGATAGTGTTGGCAGGACACCCACCCACCCCGGGCTCCCTTGTGGCAGGTGGCGTGATGGCTCTCGACCCAGGCAGGACTGGAAAGGGGGATGTCTGTGCTTGGCCCAAAGAGGGGTTGGAGGGGCTGAGGGAGAGGGTGCTGGTTCTGAGTCTGAGGATGGATGAGGAATAAGAGTCTGAGGGAAGAGGATCTTCAGGAGGAAGACAGATCTGAGACAGAAGTAGGTGGTCTAGGGAAGGGGAGAGAGTCTGAGGGAGGAGGTGAGAGTCTGAGGGAGGAGGTGAGAGTCTGAGGGAGGAAATGAGGGTCTGAGGGAGGAAGTGAGGTCTGAGGGAAAGGAAGGAAGGTCTGAGGAACTCTAAGAAAGACCAAGTGAGGGCAGTGGCTCTGAGGGAGGAGGAGAGAGTTGGGGGAAACGGAAGGGTCTGAGGGAAGGGGAGATTTGAAGAGCATCTGAGAGGGCAAATTCTGAGGGAGGAGGACACGGGAGGGAGCAGACCTGAGGGTCTGAGGGAGGAGGTCATGGTCTGAGGGAGGAGGAGCAGTTGGAGGAGGGCCTCCTTGGGCCGGAGGGAAGAGCGGCATGCTTGGGGAACCTGCGGAGACTCAGGGGAGGGAAGAAAAGGGAGGCTGGAGTCAGCCCCGCCCCGCAGCTGTCTCTAATTTCCCAGAATCTTCTGCTGCTCAGGAAAGTCCCAGCTCCCACAGCCGCCTCCCTCCAGTGTCGGGAACGGAGGATGCGGAACCAGGATGGCTCCCCCTCCTTTTCCCTTTGCTCCCTGCACCCTAGGCGGGGAGGACTAGGGTCTCCCCTCTCTGGGCTTTGAAATCTGGAGGCCCCCCGCCGCCAGTAGGGGCAGTCCCTGGATGAGTCCCAGAAACTTCCCAGAGAAGGCCCGAAAGTCCTGTTTGATGTCTAACCACTTTCCCTCATGCAGGCAACCCTTTGTACCTGTTCAGTTCTCCTGCCTCCTACTGCTTCTTCTCCCCTTGTCCTTCCCCGAACCTCCCTGGGGAAGGAAGGACCACAACTGTACCTGCTCGAGGTCCGAAGAGAGAAATGAATTCCTAGCTAGAAAGTTGCTGGTCTGGGGCAGCTTTCTTGCCTTGGGGGCCTCAGTTTCCTCTTCAAAGAAGAGAAGATTGGGCTGGTTGGGCCCTATGATCCTATTGACTTAATTCCTGGGCTTGTCCTGTTGGCTTCTGACTGAGGCCAGGATACAAGTCCTGTCTCCTGCTTTCATTAGTTTTGTGACTTCCAGGCAGTTAGCTTGCTCATTTATAAGACAGACTAAGTCAAGAAAATACACTTCCATTCTACAGGTTCTGAACTACAGAAAGTGCCTAATATGATGTAGCTGCTATTATTATTCTTCCTGTTATAACCTGGCATAGGAATAATAATTATTATCAATTAACCCATAATTTCAACAGCAGGATCCATTTCTTTGAGGAAATTAACATCCAGCCTACTGGGCTTAGAGACGTGGGTTAGAGCCCTGGCTCTGCCATGTGTTGGCTGTGTGACCTTGGATAGGTGGCTGTCCCTCTCTGTGCCTTTCTATGACTTCTTGGTTGAGGGTAGTAACAGCTTCTGCCTCCCAGGATTGCTGAGCAGATGAAGTGAGCCCAGGTGTGCAGAATGAACAGCTGAATGAATGAATGACTTCTATTCTTGTGTCCATGTTGCCTGCCTTCACCCAGCAGGCCAGACCTTTCTTGTCATCATGTTCCACCCAGTGATCAGCCAAGATGGCCCAGTCCTTCTGGCTGAGCTTCCACTGGGAGTTGGCCCATTTCATTCTCTTGACACCTTGTGAGGAAAAGTCAACGAAAATCGCTATTTTTACAGAGAAAGAAACAGGCACAGAGTAGTCACTTCTTAGGATCACACGGTGAGAGATTGGGGGAGTCAAGATTGTAAGCAGGTCTCTGTGACCCCAGCTTCTTGATTGCTGTACCCGCTGCCCTGGGTGAGGTGGTCATTAGTCCCAGAGGCCCAAGGCCTTCTGTCTCAGTTCTAATTCCAGTTACTCCCTGGGAAGGAGTAGTTTAGATGGGGAAACAGGCAAGGTCACGTGCCCAAGGGTCTACATTCTTTCTCCAGTGCTATTCTGCTGCCTCCAGGCACAGGGAAGTTTGAGCAGACAAGAGAGAAGTTCGCTTTGCAGCAGGAGGAAATAGAGTTA